TTAACATTTTTATTGATTTATAGTCATTTTACAATGCTGTGTCAAATTCCAGTGTAGAGCACAATTTTTCAATTATACGTGAACATACATATATTCATTGTTGCATTCTTTTTCACCATAAGCTACCACAAGATCTTGTATATATTTCCCTGTGCTATACAGTATAATCTTGTTTATCTATTCTACACATGCCTATCAGTATCTACAAATTTTGAATTCCCAGTCTGTCCCTTCCCACCCCCCTCCCCCCTGGCAACCACAAGTTTGTATTCTACGTCTATGAGTCTGTTTCTGTTATGTATTTAATGTTTTTTTTTTTAAAGATTCTACATATGAGCAATCCCATATGGTATTTTTCTTTCTCTTTCTGGCTTACTTCACTTAGAATGACATTCTCCAGGGACATCCATGTTGCTGCAAATGGCATTACGTTGTCATTTTTATGGCCGAATAGTATTCCATTGTATAAGTATACCACATCTTCTTTATCCAGTCATCTGTCAGTGGACATTTAAGCTGTTTCCATGTCTTGGCTACTGTAAATAGTGCTGCTGTGAACATGGGGTGCAGGTGTCTTTTTGAAGTAGGATTTCTTCTAGATATAAGCCCAGGAGTGGGATTACTGGGTCATATGGTAAGTCTATTCCTAGTGCCTTTTCATTTCCTTGATTGTTTCCTTTGCTGGATATAAGCTTTTTGGTTTGATGTAGTAGTCCCATTTATTTACTTTAGCTTTTGTTGCCTATACTTTTGGTGTCGTACCCAAAAAATTACTGCCAAGACCAATGTCAAGGTTTTTTTTCTCAGTGTTTTCTTCTAAAAGTTTTATGGTTTCAGGTATTACATTTAAGTCTATTAAGTCATTCATTTTGAGTTAATTTTTGTGAGTGGTGTGAGGAATTTTTTTTTTTAACAGAGGTGCTGGGGATTGAAGGAACCCAGGACCTCGTGAATGCTAAGCATGCACTCTACCATTGAGCTATACCCTCCCATGCCTTGGTGTAAGGTAATTTTGTGAGAGGGCCCAGTTTCATTCTTTTACATGTGGATATCCAGTTTTCTCACCACCATTCACTGAAGAGACTATCCTCTCCCCATTAGTGCTGTTGTCAAAGACTACTTGACTGTGTATGTATGGGTTTACTTCTAGGCTCTCTATTCTGTTTCACTGGTCTGTGTGCCTGCTTTTTTGCCAGTACTACCTGTAAAATGGAATACAATGTAAACATTAAAGTGGTGATATAGATCTATGTTTATTGATATGGAAAACTGCCTCTGTCACACTGTTGAAAGGAAAAATCTAGTTATAAATAAAAACTTTAGTGTATGTGTATATTTTTATAGAGGTATTTTAAAGGATGTTCATTTCTGAATAAGAAGATTTCAAGTGATTTTCTACTTTGTTCTTTATACTTTATGGTATTTTTATTATATTATTTATTCTCATAATCAAAATATTTTATTTTCATCTAAGGGCTTACTAAATAATTGATTTTGCTTACAAAATATCCTCTCTTTTACATTCATGTAGTTCAGGCCGTTTGAGGTCTTCATTGTTTCTTGCAATTGGCATGCAAAAGCAGTATCTGCTCTGTCTTAATAGTAATGACACATGATATCTGAACAGTATTTCCCAGCTTACAAAGCACTTTCAAAACATTATCTCCACTGAGACTCAAAAATAACCTTATGAGTAGGTAGTGTATTATCTCATTTACATTTTAAAAAACTCCAAAGTTACTGATCTTGAAGGGAACTTATGGCCCAAATTCCATGTACCTAATCATTACACCTTGCTGACTTGGGGTAAGAATAAACCTAAACTGCTTAATACGGTCTGGATGTAGTAAGGAGTACAGTATATTTCTCTAAACTAAGAGGGTTGATGTAGCTGGGAAGCAGAGAGGTGACAATGGAGTGGCCTTAGATGCCATATTAAGGAGTTAGAATTTATGCCAAAGGCAATGAGAAGCTGCTAACAGGTTTTAAGGAGTGAAAATACAAATTATGATTGTTTTGACCGGGGATCTGCAAACTTTTTCTGTGAAGAGCCAGACAGTAAATACTTTAGCCTTTATACAAGCCATATGGTCTCTTGCAGACCCTCAACTCTGCCACTATAGGGTGAAAGCAGTCATATACAGTACATAAACAAATGAGTTTGGCTGTGTTCCAATAACACTTCCTTTATGGACACTGAAATTTGAATCTGAATATCATATTTTTAATATCACATATTTTATGTTTTAATACTACTTTTCTTTAGTTTTTTTTTGCAAAGATGTAAAACTGTAAAAAATTTAAAACTGTAAAAAACTACTTCTGGGCTAGATGTGGCTGATAGGCCATATTTTGCTGACTCCTAGTTCAGACAATGATCACTTAGGCTACTGTGTAAAGCAGACAAAGAGGTGAGTCCTTTCAGGCCCATTTCCTTAGGTCCAGTACCCTCATACTGACTTTTTAATATTCAAGTCCTGTTAATATCATGCTACATGTCCTTCATCTCTCCATCACTGATAGCCACTAATGCAAAAGACTGTTTTCAGGTTAACTGTTACATGTATGTGGTTATCCCTTTGTGTTCAATGTGGTAATATTTTTAGTCTTAAAGGAAGAGATATCTCAGGGATAGAGGATAATTTATAGGTAGGAATAATCCTGTTTGTAAACTTTTAAGTTCAAAGACGTAACATTTCTCAGTATATGGGCTAGACCTATAGATCTCTGGCTAAATAATAATTTAAATAGTAATAACTGAACTATTAGAACACATGATAAATTCTTTAGACAGTTTCAGTGTAGAGTTTCAAATTATAATAGATTCATGAGCTAAAAGGAGCTTTGCTTAAGGCTTAATGCTCTCTTAAGGCTCTTAAGACTTCCTTAAGGCAGACCTTGACCTATAAATAAGGAAAGTTACTTATGAAGAATAAGGATGCAGCATTCTTACTAATGAGTGTTCACTTTTACCAATAAAAAGGAAAATAAAACTATTTCTCTCCTTTCCTTATTTTAGGTTTTTATCTTTTACTCATAAACATCCGTATGGGTTAGGGTTAGAGTTAGGATTAGCTTATCAGTAGAAAAGCTATTTGGATTTAAACTAACAAGGAGACTTCCTTTACATTGCTACTGACTAAACTGAGACTAAACGCTGAAACAGGTATGATTTGAAAAAATGTTTATAAGATGGCTTTGATGATTATGCATTAATTAACATTCAAAGCAGTAGAAATTACAGGGTAATATAATAATACATTGTGAGAGAAACTTTGCTAGACATTAAACACTTACATATTCATCTCTTCTGTTCTTATCTTGGCTAGAAGAAAAGATTGGGACTATAGACATAAAAATTTTTTTTTTAAAATAAAGAAAATTACCTTTTCTGGTAAGTAGTGGCAGACGTGAGAAGGTGAAGATAAAGAGGGAAGTCACTGGGGTGAGAAAATCTAAAAAGTGTTGTAATTAAATTTCTGACAGAGATGTCTGCATGTATAGATTTTGGTGAAAATAACAAAACATTACCTCAATATACTAACATGCCTGCTCAATTTGACATAAAATACAGATGATAAACCAAAAAAAGGTTAAAAATTCTGAAGTAATTAGATCGTTTCATGATCAATGAAAGCACAGTTTAATTCAATGATGCCAAGTTAGAGTTTAAATAACAAATTCATTCCAAAGACAAGTGACCTAATGTCATGAACCCATATTAACATATAACACATCAAAGCTTAATTTAAATTACAAAATGTCTTCATTGTGCAGAAGATTCAGGTAAGAACCTTCCAGAAGTTTTTGTTGTTTTCAAGAAGCTTTTGCTTTATTTCTTTGACAAACAGTGAAACCGCTGTGGAGCAGAATACGCTGGAAAACCAGGGAAAGAACCCCACCTTTGTTTATCTCATCTCACTGTGACACTGTGGTGAAAGAACTAACAAAAGAAGAATCTGATACAGAGCACAAGGATCTGTAAGAAACTGGTGGATTTTACTGTTCTGTAGCTAATAAGTGGAGGACTAAAGTGTATGCAAATTTATATCCTCTTGGATCCACCTTGCACTGTGGTTACTTTAAAAATGCAAGTGACTATATAGATTGTCATTCTAAGTGAAGTAAGCCAGAAAGATCAAGAAAAATACCATATATCACTTACATGTAGAATCTAAAAAAAAGACAAATGAACTTATTTATAAAATAGAAATAGACTCACAAACACAGAAAACAAACTTATGGTTGGGGTGGGGGGAGGGGGTGGGAAGGGATAAACTGGGAGCTTGAGATTTGCAGATACTAATATATATAAAATAGATAACAACAAGTTTATACTGTATAGCACAGGGAACTATATTCAGTGTCTTGTAGTAAAAAGAGTATGAAAATGAATATACGTATGTTCTTGTATGGCTGAAGAATTAGGCTGTACACCAGAAATTGACACACTGTAAACTGACTATATACTTCAATAAATATATATATACTTTTTGTGTTTGTGTGTATATATATATACACACACATACATACACAAAAAAATACAAGTGAGACATTAACAATATGTTACTTCTCAGTAAAATCTAAGGGACAAACTGACCACATTCAAGATCTAGGGAACATGTTTTCCCCTATGTCCTGGTTTCTGAAGCTGTGCTTCTTCAGAAAATGGATTAGAAAGACATTTAAGCTTGTTAGATAGAAAGGTGTCATCCCCTCACATCAAGGTACATGAGTAGAAAAGTCCAAGAATTATAAATTCTTAGCAAACATAAAAAATCCTTTGGGGCCTGGCAAGGAAAAATGTCAACAAGTCAAAAGAGACTAGATGGCTATTGACCAGTTTCATGAAGGCAAAGCTGCAAGCCAAGATGGAATAATGCTTTCCCACCATGTGTCTAAGGCACAAATGACACTAATCCTTTTTAATGGTCACAAAAGCTGACAACTTACTCAGCCTTAGAACTGAAGGCACAAAATCATCTCTGGGAATGACTCACCATGAACAGGTCACGAGCACCAATGTCAACAGCTAACAGAAATGCCTTTTCAAATCGCTGGTACCTATAAGGAAGAAATTTTATATGTTACTTGTGAACAAAATTATATAAAAGGAGAGAGCAGTCTGCTTAATTTACTTTTGTGTTACTGTTTTTGTTCTGATGAGAAAATATTCTCAAACAGCAGGGATTTCGCCTGCTGGGATCTTCCTCATGTGAGGTGCTGTTGTACCTAAGAGGAGCTGAGGCACAGAGCCTGGGGAGGACTTCAGTGTAAGCTTCAGTGATAAACGTAACCAGATGAGGTGCAGCTGAGTGCAGGGAAATGATGGCTTAGGAAATACGTTTCTCATAATTTTTTACTTTATTGTGTTACATAAAAAGTATGGGGCTATGGAGAATAGAGCAGGATAAGAGTAATTAATAAATCATATAATTATACTTTTATGTTTCTTAGGTGAACAATGAGAAGTCAAATGTTGCATTATTACAAAAGTCTAGTATTTGTGAGTTTTGGAAAAAATTCTAAGGTGTTGTAAAATGATAATAATAAATAGTTTCTAAATATTTTTTAGATACTGCTTTTCTACTCTTACCACAATCAAACTGTCTCTCCCTGAGGTGAGAGTGAGGATTTTCTTTGTAAACGTTTAATTTTAGGCTAAGATATATAAGAACAAACTTCAGTTTAATTACATTTATTAGAAACTTTAAAATCTTGAGAGAAAAGAATGTCACAAACATGTAATTTGCACAGGATTTTGGAATGAAAGTTTATTTCTTCTAAATGCTGAGATTTACATAGATATAACTCATTTTTTTCTGACTTGAGAAACAAGCAGATAAACAAGTTGTTCTCTGGTCTCTTATATTGTGAAATATGATGCTATAAAATATAATGAGATTCAAATAAAACTTATGAGAAATATGGAATATTAATTATTAATAATTATAGATTATAAAAGTTTTGTTAGGGAAATAGCAAAAATAATTAAAATTCAAACAAACAAGGGTTATTATTATTTAATATGAGCTGATAGCTCCAGAACCTGAAATACTTTAAAATTTCCATGCTCTGTTTGATGACTGTTGTCCTGTCTCCTCCTTGGCCCTTCTTAATAGTATCTTCAGTTTCTGCCTGAACCCCTTTTAACTGTGGAAGATCAGAGGCAGTTGTGTTTATTTTTTGTTCTAGGAAGCATATTGATTCATTGTATATTCAGTGGAAATGGGATGTAATGAGGAAGAGCAGGGGGGATTAGCAAGCTTTATTACTTGCCCACACATTCACTGCCATTTTACACTTGTTACAACTCTACTGAAACTTTCTAGCAATAGTAATCATCCAGCTCCTAATGATCACACTGAAAGATAAGTTCTTGTGTGTCCTTTTGGTGACATCTGAAGCTATAAACTTCCCCTCCTTGAAATCCTCTTTCCCTGCATTTAGAAATCCATTTTTGCATTTGGAGATTCATTGTTTTTCCCATTTCTTAGATTTCATCGTCTTATTTTCCTTCTTTAGTTCATTTTTCTCTAGCTACTCCATGAAGCTGGCATTCTGTGGTCCTCTTTTATTTATACTCACTCATTCCAGTCTTTCCAGTAACCCTAGCCATTCCTATGGCACTGATAATTGTATCAGTGACACACAGATGTCTAGAATCTAGTTATTTCCTGAGCTCCAAACTTTTATTTCCAGGTATCTCAAATTTAACATGTCTCATATGTCCACTGATGCATCAGTTTGGCAAATATATATATATATGCACACACACACACACATATACACACCCACATACATACATACATACATACATATATATATAAAATAATCTGAAATTGGAAGGAGTGAAATTAAGGGGGACAGATTGGGAGGTACTCTTCTTTCTAGGTGAGACGTAATGATTAACATTATGATAAAATAAAAGAATCGGCATTGGCATCTAGCAATATGATCAATCAAAAATACCAAAGAGAACTCCCAACTAAATTGCTTATAAAATATATGTTAAAGTACAACACAGGATGCTAAAAAAAAAAATAAGGAAATATCCAAGGGTACCAAAATGTCAGTAAAAAATATAACCAACCAACCACAAAGCACTTCAATTGAAACTAGATAGAGCAGAGAGCAAATATGGGCCTTGAGAGGAAGGCAGAACTACTCTGGTCTATCACCTTCAAAAGACTGGCTAAACAAGTCTCAGGGTAAAGGTGCTAAGTCTGAGACTTCTGATTAAGCCAGGGGCTAAAATGTTCCCAGGTCATTAGTGCTCCTAACTTTGGAGGAAACAATTAAAAAAAATTCATATCTGAATTAAAGCACTTTTGATAGAAGCCACCAGGGTGCTCACAATCAAAGATCACCAAATACAAAAGAAAACAAGTCACTGTGATGGAAAATTAGAAAATAAACACAGATTTACTTCTCCAGGGATTTCAGATCATTGAATTATTAAATTTAGAAAATAACATAATTCAGCATAAGATATATAAAGAATTTATGATGGGGAGCTAGGGAGTATAGCTCAGCAGTAAAGTGGTTGGTGTGCACAAGGCCTTGGGTTCAATCCCCAGTCTGTTAAGGGAAAAAAATGAAAATTAATAAATAAATTTTAAAAAATTTACAAAAGAAATAATGATGCAGTGAGAAATAAGCATTCAACAAGATACAATAAAAACTACCAAGTAGAATTTTTAAAGAATAAAATAGAACTTTTAGAAATGAAAAACTGAATTGAAGGTAAATAATAGGCACAAAGAATTAGAGAAGTAAAAGATGCATAAGTAAGGAGTTATAAGTGTTGCACAGAGAGACAAGAGATAAAAATATAGAGAGGTTAAGCAATGCAGAGAGAACATGAAAAAGTCTAACATGTCTAATCAGGGAATTAAGTAAAAGGCTAAGAATTTCCAGAGCTGATAAATGATATGAATCAGTAAACACAAGAGGAACAATATATTAAGCAGGACAAGTCAAAAAGAATCTATAATTAGGCACATTTGTAATGGAAATGCAGAATTCCCACCCCCTTCAAAAATCTTAAGAACTGCCAGAGAGAAGACAGATCACCTACAAAGGATCTGTAAATAACTGACAACAAACCTCTCAATGGCAACAATTGAAGATAGAAGACAGTAGAAACGTTTCTTCAAATTACGGAGAGAAAACATGCATTAATCTTGTAAAATTTAACAGTGGAACTCTCAAAAATGAAAGCAAAATAAAGGCACCTTCAGATACAGAAAAACTGAAAGCATTTACGACCTTCAATAAAGGGAATTCTAGAGAACAAATCTCAGGAAAAAGAAAAATGATCCCAGAAGGAAAGTCTGAGAAGCAAGAAGGAATGGCTTTTAAAAAAAAACAAACAACAAAAAAAACTGGGTAACATACAGGTAGATAAATACACAAATATACATGCACACAAACATACACAAACGTTTTAATATTCAGATCAGAAAATATTAATTGTCAAAATCATGCAAATCAGAACGGAGTCAACATGCTAAAGTCTTTGGCTTTTTACACTGCTGAAAATATTAATGTTTGATTTTGGTAACTATGCATAGGCAAATTTCAGTAGTAACCATTAAAAGATTATAGATTGCTTAAACAGTACTACAGGTAGAGTAGGGGATGAGGGTGAGAGAACTGGAGAAAAAATTCAAGAAGTATTTAAAAAAACAAAAACAAAGGAACATAGGAAAATGGGACAGACAGAAAGCACAAAGGAAGATAGCAACAGCTCTTATAAAAATAATCATGTAAACGGACTAAACTTCCCAGTTTAAAGACAGATTCAGACCGGAAAGGTAAAATCCAGTTATATATTATTTATAAAAGCCACATCTAAATCACAAAGACAAAGAAGGTTAAAAGTAAAAGGCTAGAAAAAAATATATCAAACACTAATAAAAATTAATCTTAGGATATTTTTAAAGAAAATGTAAAACTTTGGAAAAAAGTTCAGCAGTTTCTTTAAACATTAAACACGGACATATTATTACACTCAATTCCACAGCAATTCCTAGAAATGAAACATCCCACAGAATGAATTACATACACATATTCACAGGGACATTATTCATAATAGCTTAAAAGTAAAAACAGTCCTAAAGACAATTAACTGATGAATGAATGAACATGATATATCCAAACAGAATAACTTTCAGCAATAAATAGAAATGAAGTATTGAGACATAGTGGAACACAGATGAACTAAAAAAAATTATGTTAATAGTGAAAGAAGCAACATACCATACATTGTATGGTTCTATTTATATGAAATGTCCGCAAAAGACAAATCTACAGAGACAAAGTACATTAGTGGTTGAGTAGGGTTGGGAACAGGGAGTGACGGCAAATGGGCATGAGGGATCTTCTTAGGATGAAGATGTTTTAAAATTAGATCAAAGTAATGATTTACAAATCTGCAAATTTACTAAAAATCATTAAATTGTAGACTTAAATGAATAAATTTTATGGTAGATAAACCTTAATAAAGCTATCTTTTAAAAAAGCTAAGGTGGCTACATAACCAGATAAATGGTTTTTTAGAAAAAAATTATTAGAGATAGGAAGGGTAAGAACAAAACAGTCAAAGTTTCAAGTCTCCAGGAAGATGCAGAGATTCTAAAATTGGATGCATTTAATAAAAGACTAAAAAATATACAGAGCAAAATTCTGACAGAATTAAAATAAATGAGCCCACCAACAAAGAGGGAAATTTCAAAAGTTATCTCAGACTTTTTTGCTAAACCAAGCAGTAAGAAAAATTAGTAAAGAAAGAGAAGTCTTAAATAACATAGTTAAAAAACTGGATTTATTGGATATATAGAACTTTTCACTAAAAAATTAGCAAATACACATCTTTCTTAAACACATGGAATCCTTACAAAATTATATCATGTGGTAAGTAAAAAACTACATCTCAATAAATTCTAAGGAGTATATATATAACGAATATGTTAACAGTGCAGTTTTTGACAAAAAGATAAGCAATAAATCCATATGCATTTAGAAATTAAAGTCACTAGTCAAAGGAAAATCATAATATA